TGTGCTCAAGAACGCATGGGTGTCCACAATTCTTTGGGAGATCCCAAAGTCGCAAAGCACCTCTGCGAGTATTTCTGGCATTCAGTGTCTGCTCCATACGTGTGAACACATCTCTCTGTGAAAGGCTGGGCAGCCTAAGAAAGCCCTGCCGTTCCCTGGTTATAGGCAGAGCCGCCTTTGAGCTGCCTTCCATCACACCCAGAAATTGATCCTGTGATTCTTCACGTCAGTTGCGTGGAGTGAGGGGGTGATATAAAATAGACCACAAGCCAAACACACACTCACTTAATGAGAGCACACTAACACAGGCTCTTCCGTAAATGGACCCTTACTCGACTCACGTGTGGCAATAGCATGAGTTTATACATGGACCTAGGACATTTTATGTGCAAGTTTTTGATTGAAAATTTTTAAGGGAAGTTTTCAACATATAAAATATTGCTAAAATATTCTCAAATGATACATTAAGTCCTAAACCAAAAGTTGAATAAGAGTTTAATCAACTTGCATTTGGTGAGGTTTTATTTGTTTTTATTTATTTTATTTTAATTGACATAATTATATATATTTATGGAGTGCAGTGTGATGTTATGATATATATAGTGGGGATGATTAAATTGGGCTAATTAACATATCTATTACCTCACATACTTATTTCTTTGTGGTGAGACCATTTAAAATCTATTTTAGCAATTTTGAAATATATAATGTATTATTATTGGCTATAGTCACCACATTGTGCAGTGGATCACTACAACTCATCCCTCCTGTCTAACTGAAACTTTTCACCCTTGGACCAAAGTCTCTCCTTTCCCCATCCACCCTCCATTCCCCCAGCCCCAGGTAAGCACCTTCCTATTCTCTTAGAGAGAAGAAAGATGACAGGTTTTTACCACTGAGCACTGTGTTAGCCTGTCATATGTGGCCGTTATTGTGTTGAGGAACATTCTTTCTGTACCTAATTTGTTGAAAGTTTTTATCAAGAAAGGATGTTGAATTTTGTCAAGTATTTTCGCCACACCTATTAAGACTCGAATAAATAAAATCAGAAATAATAGAGGAGACATTACAACTGATACCACAGAAATACAAAGAATAGACACGTCTATGAACAATTATACTCCAACAAAGTGAAGGACCTAGAAGAAATGAATAAATTCCCAGAAACTTAAAACCTACCAAGACTAAATCAGGAAGAAATAGAAAATCTGAACAGACCAATAATGGTTAAGGAGACAGAGTTGGTGATGAAAAGTCTTCCGCCAAAGAAATGACTGAATTCTACCAACCATTTGAAGAAGAACTAATACTAATCCTTCCCAAACTCTTCCAAAAACTTGAAGAGGAGAGAACTTTATGAGACCAGCATTACCCTGATACCAAAGCCAGACAAAGGCGCTACAGGAAAAGACACTGCAAGGAAATTACAGGCGAGTATCCCTAATGAATGTAGACGTAGAAACCCTCAACAAAATACTAACAAACCCAATTCAACAGCATGTGAAAAGGTTCATTCATCATAATCAAGTGGGATTTATCCCTAGGACAAAGATGGTTCACCACACACAAATTAGTAAATATGGTTCACCATATTAACAGAATGAAGGACCAAAAAAAATTATATATATATATATTTATATATATATATGATTATCTCAATAGATGCAGAAAAAGCATTTGAAAATTCAATACTCTTTCCTGATTAAAGCTCTCAACAAATTTGGTATGGAAGGAATGTTTCTCCTCTTGCATTTTAAACAGTATAAGAGATGTTTATTATTATTCTTACAGATATTTCTAGCATCTTCCTAATGTACCCATAAGGTCACCAGGGGAGGGATTCTGGCTCCACCTGTACACACAATGAGACTGGCCATAAACCTAGTGACAGGTGGGGCCTAAGAGGATCAGAGATGCACTTTCCTCCAACTTCACTAACAGGGAAAAGGCATGTGTAATTGTCAGAAATGGAATAAAACTTTTAAAAGCATGACAAAATAGCTACCAAAAATAGTAAAATGTAATTCTCAATTCCACTGTTTCTGCAACAATAAAAAGCAGACTCTTAGCAATACAGCAAGCTGAAGTTATGAGTCAGTCCTCTGGTGCAAGCCACAGACCCCCACCCACATTGACACTTGCTTATTTTCACTCAGTAGACAAACATTTTACTTATTTTAGTAGTGCGATACTCCCATCTTGGTCAATTGAAGTTTCTTTCTTGATGAATTGATATTATATTACAAGAAACTTTGTCTGAACTTGTTTCTAGCAATTTTTTGGTGGCAATGCTTTCTATGTGACACCCACCACTCTTTCCTACTGCCTCCCCCAACTTGTGTTTGAATTTCTGAGAAAGGATGGACCCAGGTCACCTAGGAACCATGGTTACAAGAAACAACAGTGCCCCCAAATCCAAAAGTGGTTCAGAACCATGGACAATGGGACTCATGTGGGGGTGTCAAGTCATATTGTGAATATTTAACTTGCATTTATATGTAAATGTGAATATTTAATATATAAGTATATATATTAAATATATAATATATATTATATATAATATTAATATATAAGTATATATTAAATATATAATATTAATATATAATATATATAAGCGTGAATATTTAACTTGCATTTATATATAAATGTAAATTAAAATATACACTTTTCAACTTACATTATTCCTGTGTCAATGTTGGAGTATTCAGCAACTCAAAGCAATGGTTATTTGGCTTTTGTTTGCTAACGTGACTAAATCTAAACTTTATCATTTATATAATAACTTTAGTTAAAGCTTACAATTGTTCTTTCCTTAACAAATGAGCATCATTAGAATTTTTCTTAAGGTTAACTACAAATTTGAGCCACAGAGAAATTTTTCTACAATAGATAAAAAGAATTGGAAGAGATGAAGAAAACGGAGATTTTTTGTATGCATGTTAGAAACAAAAGATTTTCTAGCATAAAAAGCATTGATCTGTGAGAAATGAAAGATTGGAGAAAGAAGGTAGCAGATGTGTGCATGTCTCCAAAGGGAAGAGAGAAATGGTAATCAAGACCCTGGTCAAAGAGTGCCTCATATCGGCCTCTAGGTGGTTCTTCTGCCCCGGGGAACTCAGGCAAAATAACAATAATGATCAATAATAAAAATGCTTACTGAGCACTTACGGTGTGCCAGGCACTCTAGGGGAAATTCATATGTCACTTTATGTAGGGAAAAATTGTGGATGGTTTTTAAACGGACCAAAGAGATTACTGGCCATCTTTTTGATGAAATGGTGGAGACGCCTTTTGGCGTGTACACTGGCCTTTCTTTGACTCGACTGCTGTACAATTCTGTAGAGATAAAAGTTAATTGGTAGAAAACAGAGTAATGCAACTTACTGCCATCCGCAGAAGTGCAAATTTCATCCAGCAGCATGCAACTGATTACCAGCCTGCGGACACTGGCCCGCTTTTCCTGCTCTGCGTCCATGTGCGTGCATTCATCAGTCCTTATCTGCATGTCGCTGCGTGGCGCTGGGCTTCCCTTTCGAACCAGCGGTAACATCTAGCAAGGCCCTCATTAATTAAGCTAAATGAAATCCTTGGCACATGTTCATTTTATATTTTTGTACGAGAGTCATGATTTTATGCCCTTTTAACATTTAGCCTTTAATACTCATCTAACCTTCGTAATATCATTATACGATGAACAGTGGGAATAGGTTTGAAGAGACCTTCTACCGAATGTCAGAAAGGAAGGCAGCAAGCCCACACACTGTTCCAAAGAAAGGGGCTTTGATCTAATTTTATCCCAAATTGCATTCAACATATGAATAATTCTTCCCCAGGGCCCCATGTACACAAAGTATCTATGCACAGGATTTACCACGTCCCAGAAACTCACTCCAAAGTGGGAGAACTATAGTCTGAGACAGATATTTCTTATATTAGAAGGAATTTTCTCTCTGAAATGTTAGCCATTCTCCCATGAAAGCCGCCTACTCCCTTCTCTACAAAAGTCTTTCAACTGTGTGAAGGCAAATATCTCACATGCCCCCAGTCTTTCCAGATAAAGTATATGTAATTGTTTTCCACTTGAGATGGTTTCCAGACCCCTCACCCTCTTGCCTGTCCTTGCTTCTCCTGAGCTCATCATGTCCCTCTAAACCTGACACACCTAGAACTGAATACAATTCCGACCCACTTGGAACATTGTTCTTACGATCTAAGCCTTGGAAATGGGTCAGATGTCAACAAGCCCCACATTTGTCATTTTGGGGGTGCCTGCAATTTGCTTAAATTCCTTTGTAAGTATGGCCCTGGCTCTGGCTCTTCCTGTGTACTTCGTACTACTACAACTCTTTCTAAGGTATGTAAACTATGTTGACACTTTTCATGTGTAAACCTATTAAATATTTATTCCTAGTTAGATTCATTAAAACTTTTACTTATAAAACAATCATTGATCTCTTTCATTCAATTTTTTATTGAAAAAAATCCTGCTGTCTTCTGTTTATATTAACAAATTAGCTCTGATGTTTAAAAATGTATTAAATTATCTACTTGATTCAAAACACCATGGTCAGGTTATCCAAGCACAAGAGAAAGAACTCATTTTGACACCATAAACTAACAATCGATCGGTATTTATAGCTACTCTTCAGATTCATTGAGGAATTCACGATGATGAATTCCACATTTCTGACAGTCCTTCAGCTAGAAAGTTGGCCAGTTGTGGGAACCCAATGCAGTATTGACAAGAATCCCACAGTTCCCTGAGCTGCTAACAGAGCTGCAAAAGGCTAACCCAAGGAAAGAAAGACTCCAAATACCCGTGGCCTGTAAGGAAAGCGATCAGTTCCCACTGCCGCGACTCCCCGTCTCCCAGCCACCAGCTGGCCAGGGCGGCCCATGGACGCTAAGCTGTGGCCGGGCTTCCACGGGAAGGACGGAAAGGGTGTCGAGGCAGAACAAGAACCACGGATATCTTCTCTACACGATGTTCCTTTGCATACCTGAAGCTTCAGAAACAGCGGAGCTTTAACTCTGACTCCTGCTGAGCTCGCGTGTGGGCAGACAGCCCTCCCTGGAGGTCAGCAGCTCCGCGGCACCCCCGCTGCGCGCCATGGTTAGTTGTGCACACGGAGCGGCACGGAGCGTAACTGTTGATTAAAGAAAAATTCAGTCACCCACTAGTTCATTGGTCTGCATGCTACCCAAACACTGATTTCTTAAAACACATTGATTAAAATAAAAGACATTTTGGCATCCTGTATAGAGAGTGGGAATTTTTCAACGCTCTGCAATATAAATGTATTGTTCATCATATAAGTTCTTATGACAAGTACAAGACCCTTGGATATTGTATAACCATCATAATCATGGGGAAACAGACACTGAAAGGGGAGGCAACAGGCCAAAGGTTACTAGCAAGGTCAAAGGTGAAATCAAATTTAAGAGTGAAAGTTTCAACGTCATTAGCCATTATTCCTCAGCGGGCCTCCAGCACATCCTGTCCGATCCTTCTCTGTCCACATTCAAAGTGAACTTCTGTCATTAGCAATTAAGAAAATCATCTGAGGAACATCAGAGAATTAAATTACCCAATTTGATTATTTGAGTATAAAAATGTGAGTAACTTTTTCAATGTCAAGTAACATCTTCATGGTTTCCCTTTAGCCAAATCCGGCAAACTCCTTAAATCTAAAATGAGTGCCTAGCTCCCCGTTGATTTCATTGCCTTAGGAGAGCCCGAGGTATGACAGAACTCCTCACCATCTGCTCTGCACACCTCAGCCTTCCCTTTTGGAGTGAACAGCCCTTGCACTGTGTGACGCTGGAGCTAATGACCTGGACGCCCCTCCATTCACACAAGGGAGCCTTGGGCAGGCAATAAAGGCTTGCCTGCCCAAGTCTTTAGGAAACCAAACCTGCACCACTTCACGCAATAATTTAGCAAAAAGCTTAGAGCAATCATTTGGCTATTCCAACTTGTCAGGAAGGGAGACATGTGGAAGACGTGCAAGTGGCTTCCTTGGAGGAGATAAATCCACAGCCTGCAGACGGTGCCCGGAACACCGGGAGGGCCTCCTGGAGACAAGGCTGTCTGCCGCACAGGGCTGGGCCAGGAGCTCGCAAGAGCCCAAGACCAGGCCATCTATCACCAACCCAGGCAGACAGAACAAACAAATCCCTGGTGCTCCCAGACGCTTGCGAAAGGGCTCCAGGGCAGGCACCAGGGCGCGCAGGGAGCCGCTGGGAGCCAGCTGTGTCCAGGCCCCTCAGATCAAAGATCAGTTTGGGGCAAAAGGAAGTTTTGAATTTGACAGGATTTTCCTGCATGCTTTCAAAACAAGAATAACATGACGGGCCAGTAACAACAAACTCGACTACAGACAGCTCTTAGGGGACACAGGGTTGTGTGCATGGGGCACGGTGGTGCCGGCTTACAGATACGCCCCAGGATGAAAACTAGCCCTCGGTGTGCCCATCCGCAAAGCCTGGGGTGAGGGTTCCATGTGCGAGGAGGGAGGCGGGGAGACAGATTAAAGTAAGCAAACGAATTTCTTGACATGCGCCTTACGAGTTTTGACACTTTGATGGGGAGAATCTGTTACAGTGCTTAAAAGTTCCAAGCTTCACACCGCAGGGTATGGGGGAAGGCAACGAGTTCAAAGTGAATAATTACCTGTTATTGATGTATTATATTTAAAGACCCTGGATAAGGATTAAAGACACTCTCGAGGCTGTTAACAGCCCGCAGTAAACAAGTCGAGTACCCGGGAGGAGGGGAGAGAAGAACTTCAGGAGGATTTCCTCCATCATGCCGGAACCTCTGAAGGTAAGCAAAGTGTGTCATATGCACTGTACAAAGAGACATATTTAAGATCACAAAAAATTCCTAAATACTGGTGGAGCACTATCTCTGTCCCTGGAGGCTCGTCCTGTGAGCTGTGCTCTCTTGCAAGGGCTTTGTGTTATTAGTCATCATATTCCTGGCACTATGGAAGGATTGGGAGCAGGTAGGTGCACGTTGAATGTGGTTGGTTGGTTGGTTGACTAGTTGAACTCAATTTCTTTTCTTGTTTACAGTTTCAATTTAAAAAGAAAAAAAAAAAACACAAAGATTTTACCACTTCAGTAGGTTGCCCACCAGACCCAGAGGCTCTTTCTGGGGATAAGCCTAGAGCAGGACAGTTCTCACCAGCAAGATCCCCCCAAAGCAAGCAGGGACTGTTTCCGTCTCCCTGGAGGATGGAATTGATGATCCTGCTCTGTTTCCCTTCTGTGGTGTCTGATCCTGTGATCTCTCAGCTGAGGACTATTATTCTAATGAAAAACACTTCCAGGAAATCAGTCCAAGACAGACTTAATTTGATGTGGAAAAGAATTTCAAACGCACATCATGTCCATCGGAAATTATGATCAGCTTCAGATTTCAGCTACTCAGATCTGAAGATGCCACAGTGCTTTGAAGGAAATGAAGAAGAGTACTTATTTATTTGTGTTTTTTATTTGTTTTAAGCTAAACAAGAAAAAAAAGAACTCAATTTCTTTTTGAAGAAGAAAAAGAAGAGCTGTCCTTCCCGCAGGGAAAAGACAGTTCTGATCAGCATAATTACAACCTGTTGATTGGCAGCGCCTGCCCAGCGATGAAGCCTCGAGGCAGGTGGCTCTGCAGGCCACATGTGCTTCCCGGGGCTCCCTGGGAAGCGTCCAGCTGCAGTGGCAGAGTGAGTCAGGTCCTCTGGTCCAGGGGGTCCGGGCCCTCTCCCTCCATCCACGCCCCTCGTGACACGCCGCTGCTCACCCATCCCCGGCCTTTCCACCTCCAAGAGCTGGGCTGAGGACCTGGTCCTCCCCAGGAGGACCCGAACTCGCTCTCCCTAGTCCTGCTCGCAACAAAGCATGCCCAGTCTCCAGGTCCTCATCGCCAGAAAACACTTACCCAGCCCTTGGCCCTGTCTGCCCTTTCCACCCAGAAGGCGGACAAAATCCCAAATTTTAGAGCAAAACGGGGACTGACCAACTCTGCACCTGAGTTCCAGAATGCGAAAATCAAAAGATCTCTGTTATGATGCTAATACCTCACATCTCTGGGCTTTGCCCAGCCCAAGCCTCCTTACCTGTCCCTCCCCGGTGCTGGACATCAAGGGCACGCCTAAGCCAGGCTCCCGGCCCCGAACTCCACTCACAGAGATCCACACATACACTAGGAGCCGCCACGGTATATGTTATCCCTTCGTTTATATATTTTTTATTGTGGTAAAATATATATAACATACACTTTGCCCTTTTAGCCACTTTTAAGTATACAATTCAGTGTCATTAATTACATTCACAATGTTGTGCAACCATCACTACTGTTCAGCTTTCAAAATTTTCACCACCCCAACAGAAACTCTGTAACCATTAAGCAATAATTCCCCACCCTTCTCTCCCCCCAGCCCCTGGTAACCTGCCATCTACTTTCTATGAATTTGCCTAGTCTAGGTATTTAGGAGACGTGAAATTGAACTGTTTTTATCCTTTTGTGTCTGACTTTTTTCACTTAACATAATATTTTCAAGGTTCATCCATGGTATAGCATGTATCCAATTTTCATTCCTTTTTATAGATGCATAATGTTCCATTATAGGTACGCACCATATTTTATCTCTTCATCTGTTGATAGACACTGAGTTGCTTCCATCTTTTGGATATTGTGAATAGTGCTGCAATGAAAATTGATTTTCAAGTCCCTGATTTCAATTATTTGGGATAAACACCTAAGAGTGGCATTGCTAGGTGATTCCCTTTGTTTGGATTTGATGAATGAATGAATGAATGAATATTTCCAGCATAGACAAGAGTTTGTGCAAAGGCACCAAGGCATGGCCCACCCTCTGCAGCTCTGCACCACCTGAAGCCATGTGGAAAGGTTGCCCTGGGGGACCCAGAGATGAGGCCACAGGGGAAGGAACCCTCCTGACACCCCACCATCTCCACCATCTGAGTGCACTTAATCTAAGCCTGACAAACTCCTGGGTATAGGCCACAATGTAACTAGTTCCTGAACTTTCTGCTGCCTTGGCACCCAAGACAGAAGCCATTCAAAGAAGCCAAATACCCCTGTGGCCTGCAGACAAAGTGGTCTTAATTCTACTTCTCTCTTTCACTCAAGAAAGATCTCAAGCTAAGTAGACTTATGTTTTTCAGGAAAAAACCATTCTAATGTATAAGAAAAGACCAACCTTAAGTGTTTTGTTTTTAACACCGCTGTTACTCACCTCCCAATCAATAATGACACAGGTGACTACAGGTAGAAAAGAAAATAGAAGAGTTCTCTGCAGCATCTGCCCCATGGACAAGCCCTACCATGGGTCAGCTGACTTGGATGGCAGTCACCAGTTGCCAGGACAGAAAATACAGGAATAGCAGTGGGTGTGAAGACAATGACTTCATTTCACTGACAGACTAAGCCCCAGGGGGAGGTGGGGACAGTGGTCAGGTCTCCAGAGAAAGGTCAGCGCAAGAGAAAGTTGTGTGAGTCCTCAGCATATAGGATGAGACTGCCCTGTCGGGGCCATGGCTTCAAACAAAAGAGGACCAAGACCAGAATTCTAAAGAGTTCTGACATGGAAGAGTCAGAAGAGCCAGCAAAATCTCCTCGTGGCGAAGGGAAGCGCTTCAAGGAAAAGAAGATTGACAGTGCCCAGCGCCGTGGCACAAGTTAAGGATTCTACTGGATCTGACACTTGGCAGGTCTGAGACCTGTCAGGGTAGCAGGGGCAGGACACACATCTGAACAGGGAAAGGGACGTAATGAAGTGGCTTCGGAGTGATCTCCACATTTGGTAACAGGTGCAACACATGGTAGACTCTCAAGTGTTCATTGAATAAGCAAATGAGACTTATTCAAGTTACAACTATCTACCACTTGTTGAACATATGACTGTCTATATTAATACTGGGAGGTGGGCATATCTACAAATGCTAATCAGTTGCAAAAGGCCTAGAGTTATTTTAAATTGAATGGACACTATTTAACGATAAGAGCTGTAGAGTTGCCCATATTTGGGATGAACGCAATAAATCGGATCATTAAATACACTAGAAAGTGATTATAAGAGACTCTGGCTTTCAGAATTCCATAATCTAGAAGAGTAGAACTTGTTCTGACTTGGCCAGAGGTTTCTTTTCCTCACCTAGCTAACAGCAGAGCCAATAGTATAAATACTGCTTCATTACCTCAAATGTTTAGGAATATGAATAGTAACAGACAGAAAAGACAATGACAATACAGATATTGCTAGGACGACCATTTGCATTATGGGCTTGTTTACTACAGCATATTAAATCCAGACTCCTCCTTCAACCTCTGAGTGGCCATGAGCCAAGGTGTGTGATGAACTCAACTTCGTGCACACAAGGTGGAGGAGCATGAAATCAAATGAAGAGAAATCTCCTACATAACAAGATGTAGATCCTCACATCCTTATATCATGCTCTGCTTCACTGGTATCTCGGGGAGTGTGACTGGGCAACTCTGGGGGCATGGCATCGAGCTGTCTGTGTGCTGCAGGGCTCCCCAGGCATTAGCCCACCAGCAGGCACAGTGGCTCGCCAAGAAGTGACCCCAAGTGCAGCCCAGAGCCTTGCTGACTGGGAACATCTTCTGGGAAGACAGCACACTTTGGCAAATGCTACTTCAGACAGTGGTCACAGGCCAGCCCAGCGCTCAGGACGTGGCAGCAGCACTGTAGTTGTCTTGCTGATGACAGGCACGTCATGTCTTTCTGAGTTCAGAATGTTCCGATGCTCAGGTCTGCTCCAGCCAACCTGACCCTCAGAAAAAGCTACACAATGAAAGGTGGAAATCGGAAAAGATCTGCCTGTGTGTTTTTGTTCGTGCCTCAGTCTACATATGCAGCACAACCCACTCACCTCTTCTTCAAAGCATGCACCCTACCAGCTTACATTTTGAAAGGATTTGGAAAAATGTCAGTGAATACATGCAAATCCATTGATTCAGCAGCAGTGGTGGTTACAGGAGGAACGAGGGAAGAGGGAAGAGCATGGAGCTCTGCAAAGCATTCCTCTTCTAACGCAAGTCTGCCCAAGGAGAGGAGGAGGAATAGAGACCTGGAGACCAGCGGATCACCAAGGTCCCCTAGGAGAGACTGCAGCGAGGCCAAGGGCACAGCCCCACGAGCCGAGCTGTACCACCTCTGACAGCCAGAGGTTATTCTAACTGCAGATGCCAAAATTAAAAACTGCAGAACAATGGAACTGCCCTACAGTCGGCAGCATTGTGAGGGATCTCTGTGCAGCACATGCTGCAGGACCACCTTGTTTGTTCAAACGTCTCCCAGCGATCCTAACCCATGCTGCTAAGACCAGTTCTGCTTTCAAGAGTCACTTGGCAAAGTCAAGGAACCTGAACATTTGCCAATAATGAAATGTTTCCAACCTGGAATTTGGGGGGAGGCATATAGGCTATATTTGACCACCTCCCTGACCTTACCCCTTCTAAGCTCAGTGGCCAGTTTCTGAGTGCAAGCATTTAATTTGGCCCAAGCCTGGTGCCCACAGACATCCTTGACTAATGGAATAGACATGTCTCCTATATGAAAAACATTTTTTTTCTTTGTGACCTAAAGATATCGCTATACTGGGCTCTTTATGGCCATGGATCTTAATCTCCCTCGTTTCAGAAATTGTGCCCATGGCTGCAAGAAATCCTAACTGCAGAGCATCTTGTTTTATGTGCCATTTTCCTTTGACATCGGTAAAAATCAAATCTAAAATTTAGTTTCCATTTTTGGGACCATTAAGCATATTCATCGGAGTTTTTCTGGGTTTTTATTATCATTATTATTATTATTATTATGTGCTTTGTTTTAAAAAAATATTTTTAACGTGTGCTGTGTGCAAGGGCACAGCATTTGAATGGTGTTTCTCATGATCATCCCACGTAATCAACAACACCAAATGTCACCTCATAGCATCCCGTGCATTGCTAGGCCATGTGTTTGCAATCGGCAGTTGCTCTTTGAGCCTAACCAGCATGTGTTTTTGGCTTTTGAATTCAATTTCAGCAACCTTGAGAAAGCACAACATAGGCTGGGAAGGAATCTGAATGGTATTAGCTTAATTTGGATTCTGTAGAAGCCAATAACCGTCCACCCGTCTGCTCCAGGACGTCCATGTGCATGTGCACGCCAGTCACTCACTTCGCCTGGGCCCCCGAGGCACGTATGTGTCAATGCAGGGAGTGAGGAAGGCCGTTGTCCCCGTGACGAAAGCCGGGTTGACTGAGGGCTGGTGTCCCGGCGGGTCTGCGTGGAAAGACCTGGGCACATGCACCTCACCAGCACTCTGCCGAGGGCTGTTTTCTAATTGGTCAACGAAACTTGATAAATCACTTACCCTCGGTCTGTATCTTCACATCCTCAAACATCTGGGGGAAAACTGGGCGGGAAGTGTTCTGCTCATCCCGAAGAAACAGATGTGTGCCATCACATGGAAGGAATGTCCAGATGCCGACAGTGCCGCTGCCTTCTTCCAAGTGAGCCTTGCCCGGGGCATTTTTGAAAGTCACATGAAGAACTTTCAATTGAGGCTTACTCCTTGTGGAACAGAGCACTTTCTGCCACCCGAAATCCTTTAGAAGAGGCAGGAATGTAAATAAAAAATAAACTCACTTTATCATGAACTAAGGAATATCTTTCTCAAATTATAATCCTATTTTGATAGACTTCATTAAGTAGATGTGAGTATGGAAGAGTATTTGCATGAGTGTGTGTGTGTGTATGTGTGTGTGTGTGTGTGTGTGTGTGTGTGTGTGTGTGTGTGTGTGCTGCCTCGTGCAGGGATTGCAAAACAAGGCTGCAGCCATTATCTGAACAGCTTCATAGAAATACAGACCCGCGTTGCGTTCTCACACTGGGCCTATGCAACTAAAATCTCCACTTTTGGAATCCAAGAATTTTTAAAATATACCCAGTTGGTTCTGCCATCAGAGCACAGAGTGACATCTTAGGAACCCCAGGGTGGGCAACTGTAATACTGATGCCAATGGTTACCTTTCCCTGCATGCCTAGCAGGCGCCAGGCACCGTTCTGAGTATTTGACAGACATCCGAGTTAGCCCCTGTGAGCACCGAATCATGTGGCTACTGCAGTCTCCATTTTACCACTGAAGACACTGAGGCTCAGTCACGAAGCTGGTAAATGACGAGGCTGAACATTCCAGGTCCCAGGCTAAGAGTTGATTCTCTAAAAGTTAAATCATAAGCTCCATTCCAAACACCCTTTCCCCAAGCCCTATGGGCCTCCAGTTGATTCGAGCTGCACTGGGAGCTCAATCCACCCTCTGATCTAGCTCAAGCAATTTGTTTTACATACAAGAAAACTTAGTTCTAAAGAGAATAAGTGGCTCTTCTAGGGACACCCAGATTCAAATGCAGATACCCAGATTTCATCAGCATTCTAAAAGCACCATGCTCTGATTTTGTAACAAAGCTCTCCAGGATTTAAACATTTAAAAGTCCCCTTGCTCTACAAAGATAGAGCAAAATTAATTACTTTTCTAAAAGTTCCAGGTTTAAGGATGTCTGGAACTAAGACCTTCTAGAAACCTATAGTACACCCCATGAGATCCTAGGTTTTGGGGGTTTTGTTTTTTGCTTTTTAGTCCAGACAAGAAATATTTCCAAATTCATCTTAGAAGTCTTCTTTTACTATCCCAGCTAATTAGGGGGCAAAAAGTCAAAAACAGTTACCTCATGGCAATGGGAGACACCAGCCATGTGTTTCGACAGTCTCCCCTGAGGCTCCCTGCTCCCATGTTGCTTATTGCCACATTTTCAGTTCATATGGGCTGCTCGAGACTTAGAAACTAACAATCAGACACTGACGTACTCTGGAAGCTTTCTCTCTCCATGCCACCCCAGGATTTTATTACTGATGTCACTACATAACTTCCTCAAACTTGGACTGCCAAGACCGGGGCATGGTGGGGCTTGCACCGTCTGCTGAATATATTTGAATTCCCAGTTTGCCTTTTGCCTAAAAGTGAGCACTGAAGGTCCAGGTCACTGAGACTGAAACTTCACAGTGGAGGAGCCAGCGTGTGCCCACCAGGGGCAGAGGCGTGAAAGGCGCAACATCAGTCACTTCTTTCCTGCTGTTTCCCAAAAGAATTGCCCAGATTTGTTGTCCTTTCTCCGGGGATATGGTGAGGTTTTCCTTCCCTCCCAGGCTCTGGGTTTGGACAATTCCCGCTTATTACAGAAGTAAACCTGTATGCAGTTGTGGTGAAGCTAGGGAGGTAAGGTCCAGAAGAGGGAGTCGCTAACTCAACTTTCTGGCGCACTGCGCAGGTGGCCCAGAGCTTGCCAGAGCTGCTGGGACACCAGGCACACCCCCCCACCGCGGACCGCAGAGGGCAGCGAGAAGGGAAGTCGCGGGAGGCAGGTCCTGGCGCTGTGGGCCAGCAGGGCCAGTGTCAGGGCGATGAGCTGGACCTGGAGTTGGGCGGAAAAGGACAAGGCGGGCCCCGCCAGCAACTCTCTGACCACCTGTCAGTGAGGAACGGGGAGAAACTGCTAGTGTCCGGATCATCTCGCAGCACCACGTCCCTCCGCCACCAGCTCCAGACGGCAGGCTGCCCTGCCACGCCGCTTTCTCCTCTGACCAACTCCAGCCCGCACAGGACTCTGGGAAACGTAGTTCCAGCTTAGCCAAGTCGACACAGTACAAAACCATCCATACATACCTCTTTCAACCATTTTTAATTAATTTCCAGATGAAGACGATAGTAAAATTATGTTTTCACCTAACATGGTGCAACTACCTCTCATACAACCAAAGGACACGCTGAGTCTCTCTCCAGATAGGAGCCTGTGTGTTACTTCGTCCGTCTTTGGGTGGCCATATCCTGCAAAGCCATCTGTAAACTAGGACTAAAGATTTTCCTGCTCAGTCAACTGGTCACAGGGAAGTCCCAGCGAAGCCGTAGCGGAGGTTGAGAGAGAAGGCAACGTGGCAGATCTAGAAGACTCTGAGCCACTTGCTCGCATAATTCACATGTGATTTCAGGGTCTGCTCAAGCCCAGCACTGCATATATTACTGCAGTACCCAGTATTGCATATATTATAGTACTGCCCACACCTCCCCTGGGGACGGAGTGCTGCACTCATCTCCAACTTTATGGATTGGTTGGTGATGGGCAGTTTGGTTTGGATGGTGGCCTGTGGAAGTATTCAGTCTCTTCTTTGACCCTGTCACAAGCCAGAAGGTATTTCTTAAAAGGAGAGAATGGCATAGCTATGCTTGAAAATCCTGGAGCCCTTCTCTATGATTCATTGAGAGGGGCCTGCCAGCGTCTCAGTATAGCGTCCTGTCTGGCAGAGACCAGGTGCCGTCAGATCTGCTGTACCACACAGCAGTGGCAGAGGAGTTCAAAGAGGTCTACCGCACAGCCTTCTTTTGTCATGAGACCCACACAAAACTGGCAGCCTTTTGGATCACTCAACAAAAGGCACGGCATGACATGACCAAATGAGGTAAATGTAGCCTCCGAGATCCAATAAGGCACATTTAGAGTTTGCATTTCTTTCCTACTGGGGAAGGTGCTAGATGCAGAAACTGTTCACCTTGGAAGGGATATTTTAATATGTCTTGGAGCATGAAACTCCTAGAAATTTTCATTGAGATGAAGGGCTCCTGAATTTTTGTGGAATTTATATCCACACGTGTCTTGTCAAAGCATCTAGGCCGGTTGCTCTCCAACTCACCTCCTGCTCACCAGGTCCAAACAGGATGGTACTATCAACTACCGCCAATGTGGTAGGCCAGCACAAAGTCTGCGGAATGGAGAGAAAATCAAGATCCCCATGGATTAGATTATGGCAGAGACAGTTAATATAACCCCAGGCTAGTCCAGTGAAGATGTATCGCTAGCTCTGCTGGCTGAAAGCAGACTGGTTCTGATGATCTTTACCAACAGGTGGAGAAAGGAGAAGCATCTGCAAGCATGATAGCTGCAGACCAGGTGCTAGGTGACGTGTAAAGAATACACATCTAGAATAGCAACTGCAATTGGAGTTGCCACTGGATTAAGTTTACAATAATCCATTGTTTCTAAAATCCATCTGTCTTCTGCACAGGTCAAATAGGTAAGGTAAATAGAGATAATGTAGGATTCACTAGCTCTGGCTTTCAAGTTATTGACAGTGGCAGTAATCTCTGCAGCCCTTTGAGGAATGCCATAATGCGTTTGGTTTACTATGTGTGGAGATAGAGCCAGTTCTAGAAACTTCCACTTGGTGTTTCTCACTGTAATAGCCTTGTGTCATTCCATGGGTCAGGAAAACAGTGTGGAAATTCTGCTGGTTACGGAGCTTGTCTATTCCAATTATGTATTCCTAAACTGGGGGTGTAAGCCTAGCATGTGTTCAGAGATACACGTGGCCACTGTGCAATGAATGGACCCAAATCAAAACTGTGAATCAATCAGACCCCAACAATGTCCTACTCTGGCTGGTGGGCCATAGTAGCATTTTGGGTCTAATAAACTCCCAAAGTCTCATTACTTCCCCTTCCCCTGACAGGTGGTGCACATGCCTTTGGAGAAGGCTGAGAGAGAAATCTACGATACATGCAGTCATGCATCACTTATCTGTGGGGACACATTCTGAGAATTGCACACTTAGGTGATTTCATCACTGTGCCAACATCATAGAGTATAGTTACACAAACCTGGATGGCATGGTCCACTACACACCTAGGCCATATGGCAGAGCCCGTTGCTCCCAGACAGCACACCTGTCCAGCATGTCACTGTGCTGACTACTGCAGGCAACGGTAACGTAATGGTGAGCATTTATGCATCCAAACATATGCAGGAAAGGTAGGGTGTAAGAAATAAAAATGGCACACCTGTATAGGGCACTTTTACAGTGAGTGGGGCTCACGGGCCTGGAAGTTGCTCTGGGTGAGTCAGCGAGTGAGTGGTGAGTGAACGTGAAGCTCTGGGCATTACTGTACACTGCGTAGGCTTTGTAACCATGGTAAACTTAGTCCATAACAAATTGATTTTTAAAAATTTTTTTAAATTAACTTTAGTGTACTATAAAGTTTTTTACTTTATGAACTTTTGAATTTTTTTTAACTTTTTGACTTTCATAATAACACAGCTTAAAGCACACATTGCACAGTGGGACAAAAATATTCTTTCTTTATATCCTTATTCTGTATGCTTTTTTCTATTTAAATTTTTTTTTTTTACTTTTTAAACGTTTTGTTAAAAACTAAGACACAAACACACATTAGCCTAGGCTTGCACAGGGCCAGGATCATCAACGTCACTGTCTTCCACTCCACATCTGGAGGGTTTTCTGGGCAGTAACACGCAGGAAGCTGTTGTCACCATGGTGACAATGCCGTCCTCTGGATGCCGCCTAGAGGGCCTGCCTGAACCTGTTCTATAGTTAGCTTTTTTGTTTTAATAAGTAGAAGGGCATACTCCAAAATAATGGTAAAAGGTATAGTAAATACATAAACCAGTGGCGTAGTCCTGTACTGTCATCATCGAGTACGATGTACTGCACGTGATTGTATGTGCCAGACATTTCTCCAACTGGCAGTGCAGTGGCTT